ATGTAGTAAGCGACGTACGAAGAACGGACCCCAGTTCTGGTTTCATTCATCAATCCGCTTTCGCTCTTCTCATTCTCCGTCGCCGCCATGCTTTTTCCGCCATGTGCGTATGAAAACAAAGGCACTGCACATGCGTGTTTCACCCATATTCTATCGCGATATTTTCTTATCGTTGCCCAACATTATACCGATGTTACCGTGAACGGTATGATATGGCCCAGCCCTACCCTTGTATTCTTTAAGCCACAGGTATCACACACATGGAGAAGTTTCAGATTTCTGACGTTTTACTGTATTGTCATAGCTTTTCACAATTTTCTCTACTGATAAAGACCTTGCTATCATAATACACAAAACAAAGTAATTAGGTAAGAGTTCAATAATAACCATTAAAAAAACAAAACATCAAATTTCCTCCTTTTCAGTATTACTGTAAATTTCAATTCCACAAAGGAAGACTGTTTATTTGAAAAACTGGAATTTTTTGTGAATTTATGGGAATTATTCTCCTTTTTTCTGTAATTTTACACATTTATCCATGCTGGAAGATTTCTTTCATGTACTATAGCAGCATTTGTTTATGATTTAGAAAAACTGAGAGAATACTGTTGAAACTGCACTATTTTTATATTAAATATGGATTAAATGTGTAGTTGGACATCCTTACATCTCTGCTTTAAGCAACAATCACATCTGAGCTCCCACTCACCTCATTACTCCTTTGAAGCCTCTGCGTGTACATGTAAAAAGCCACCGCCCAAAGGAAGTTGGTGAAGGTAAGGACACCTATTATAATGTGTAGGACTGTTTAAGAAGAGATTGAATATCTATTAAGTTCAAAATAACAGTCCCTTGATAACACATATTTATGCATGAATAAAAATTGTTGGGCTACTAAGAAACTTGTGCTCTAACAGAAAAGGCTCCAAAAAAGGGCCTAGAAAACTTTTTATATTTAACTAGACTATGTCTATATTTAATAGATATAGTACACACTGTATAGTTGTGCTTTTTTAAAGCGCTAAAATATGGTGCAAAATCTCCAAAAGTGGATTCTGATCATCTGAACGTAGCATTTGTGGGAGAAACTGTCTTTCCCTTTTCACGTAGATGGCCTCCTTGACTCCGCGCTCAAACCAGCGTTCCTCCCTGTCCAGGATGTTACATCCTCATCATTGAGTGTCCACTGGCCTGTAGGTGTAAAGACTGCAGAGTCCTGGCCTGACGAGGTAGCTCTTCTGTGTTGTGCCATCCTCTTAGCCAGAGGTTGTTTGGTTTCCCCGATGTATAAATCCTGACAATCCTCCTGCACTTAACAGCGTACACTATGTTACTCTGTTTGTGTCGAGGGACCGATCCTTGGGGTGGACCAATTTTTGGCGCAGCGTGTTTTGGGGTTTAAAAGCCACAGAGACCCGGTGTTTAGGAAAAAAATGCATCTCAACTTCTCCAATACTCCTGACTCATACGGGATCACTACAGGTTTTTGCTTTGGCAGGACGCTACGTCTAGATGAACAGAATCAACTTTTGGTGATTTACTTACCTGGATGATTGAGCATCATCAAGTGCAAAATTCTGTAATTAGTTTTATTATTTAAAAAATTATTTTTAGTTTAAGAATTTGATTTTTTATTTTTTTTCCAAAGTGGGGGATCGCTTTTTGAATTCACCAGTTTCATTAAAGCATGTTTGGTACTACAACAAAATTGTCCATATACATTTTACTGAAGTAAGAAAAAGTTATGAATAAAACAAGCTTACTGCGCTCTTTTTTTCCAGCACCTATGGAAGAAAGGAAAGACTGTATGAGAACAATGCAACTGAACACATTACATCAGAGCAAAAACAAAAACAAAGTCAGGAAAAACTATACTAGTAATATAGTATAACTATGAACTACATTCTTTGTTTATTTCAGTAAAAACTTACTTTGGCCCTGCAATGTTTCTGTGAAAGAAAGAAAAGACTGTATAAGTACAACAGCAAAAAACCCTTTTTAATCCGAGTACAGCATCAAGACAGTTAAACTTGTGGGACATTGTTGTGGTCAGGAAAGTAGCAGAGGAGGTTGTTAGTCATTTTCAGCTGCTTTGGTGTTAATGAAATCCACAGTGCACTAGAGGGGCAACAACGAGACAAAAAGGAATGGTTGCACAGCTGGAGGACACTGACCTTTTTCCCTCCTTATCTTTTCTGACTGCTTTTCGCTAGTTTTGCATTTGACTGGGGCCAGTGTCATTACTGGTAGCGTGATGGGATGCCTGAACCCTACAGAGGTCACACAGATAGTCCAGAAGGTTTTCCGTCTCTCCCAGCACAGTTTCAAGAGCATAGAGGAGATTCTAGGACAGGTAATTACTCAGAGAGCTCGACAGGATTTTAGAAGGTCCTTAACCCATCAGCGTGACCAGTATCTGCTCCTTTGTGCAAGGAGGAACAAGATGAGCATTGCTAGGCTACATAATGATCTCGAGCAGGCCACTGGTGTGAATGTCTCTAACCAAACAATCAGAAACAGACTTCATGGTCTGAGGGCCCGAATTTATAAAATACCAGAACTGGCAGGTTCACCACTGGCGCCCTGTATTTTTCACCAATGAGTGCAGGTTTTAGGGTCTTGTTCACGAGTGAGTGGAGAGGAAACTGAGAGACTGACAAACGCATTGGGGTGGTGTCCACAGTGATGCAGACGCTGTACCAGTCTGTCATGGTGAGAGACAGAGAGCTGAGCACAAAAATGAAGCTGTCAATTTACCCACCAATCTACGTTCCCACCCTCACCTCCGGTCACGAGCTCTGGGTAGTAAAAATAATAATGATGGATTGCATTTATATAGCGCTTTTCGGGGCCCTCAAAGCGGATGAAGGCAATATAATTACACTGCAAAGCAAGACACAAGTAGGCAAGCTTCTTCATGTTTCTCGTGCACGGGAGAGAACCGGACAGGCACCGTTCCTTCGCTTGACCCCAGTTGCTCTCGTCCGTCCTCCCGTACACTGTCCTTTTATTGAGGTTACATGAATATGCATAGGTTCATTAACATATGACGTCTTACATAGGTATACATGTGAACAAAGAATACTGTGTGTGTGTGTGTGTGTGGTTGCTGATCAAAGGGTCAAACATCCTTGGTCAGGAAGAGGGTAGCCTCCCCCTCACCCTAGATGGTTCATCCTAGATAACACGGTGAGGAAGTCCTGCAGTTCATCTAAACAAAGAGCACTTAGACTAGAACAGACGCAACTACGTTAATCCTACCATAAAACAATAAGACACGGTATGACCTCTCATGCTCCCAAAGTGCTGTCTAATACACACAAAGTTTGCAGACTATCAAGGATCAAAACCTCTACCAATCTACAACTAATTACAAAACTCTAAGCATATATAAGTAAATATTTCTAAGCATAAATGACAATCAACAATACAAACTCTAACACGTCATACTTTCTACCACCTTGTAATTTAGGTTTTTATCCACATACACAGCTACTCCCCCTCCACTCTTGTTCCTTCTATTTACAAAATTCACTTCATATCCCTCCAGTCCAAAGTCCATTCCTTTCTCCGCATTGATCCATGTTTCAGAAATGGCAATAATTCCAAATGGATTTGTCAACTCATTTAGATATTCCGTTATATTGTTGGCATACAGACTTCTGCTATTAAAATGGATTATTGATCATTTATTTTCCGTGTTGATGGTGTGCTTAAATTGTACTCAGCAGTTTGCAGTAACATACCTGACAAAGGCAGGTATTGTTTTGCATCAGGAAGAACCCAGGCCCACTGCACCAGTGTAGATGCCGGCCACAGGGACAACAGCTCCAGACATCCCTCTCCCCAGTCACCTCCTCCATCTTATCCAGGGAACACAGAGGCGTTACCAGGCCACCAAGAGAAATAATCTCTGCAGTGTGTCCTGGGTCTGCCCCGGGGCCTACTTCCAGTGGGACATGCCTGGAATACCTCACAGGAGGCATCCTAATCAGATACGCAAACCATCTCAACTCCTTTTGACGTGGAGGAGTAGTGGCTCTACACTGAGCTGCCAGCCACCCTTCAGCGAAAGACCATTTCTGCCACTTGTATCTGCAGTTCAGTTCTTATGGTCACTACTGTAACCGGAAGGTTGCCGGTTCGAGCCCCGGCTCGGACAGTCTCGGTCGTTGTGTCCTTGGGTAAGACACTTCACCTGCTGCCTACTGCACACCCCCTGCAGCCAGAGGGGCCGATGGCGCGATATGGCAGCCTCGCCTCTGTCAGTCTGCCCCAGGGCAGCTGTGGCTACAACTGTAGCTTGCCTCCACCAGTGTGTGAATGTGAGAGTGAATGAATAGTGGAATTGTAAAG